TCTCTGGCGGTGGAACTCCATCTCTGGCAGCGGAACTCCATCTCTGGCAGCGGAACTCCCCAGGCTTTATTTCTTTAACTCTCTGCTAGAACATGATTGGGTTATAAAAATAGTAATTCAGTTTTCATATGGGTGGTTTTGTAAGCTTTACCCTCATGTGATTAATTTCTACTTTTATGGCGTTGTGGTCTGAGAAAATACTTTGTATTATATCAGTGTTTGATTTTTTAAGGCTTGCCTTCTGTCCTAATATATGATTGATTCTGGAGAATATACCATGTGCCCTAGAGAAGAAAGTGTATTGAGTTTTAGTTGGGTGCAGTAACCTGAATCCATCCACAAGATCAAGTTGGCTGATTGTATAGTTTTGATCTTCTGTATCTTTGTTGAGTTTCTTTTGAGTTGACCTATCCTTTGGTAATAGTGGTGTGTTGAAATCTCCTACCACTATTGTGTTGCTGTCTCTTTCTTCAATTTTGTTTAGCATTGTTTTAAGTATTTTGCAAGTCTATCACTTGGTGCATAAATGTTAACCAATGTATGTCTTCTTGATCTGTTGTGACTTTAATCAATATATAATGCCCATCCTTATCTTTTATGGTGGTTTTTATTCTGAAGTCTGTTTTATTACCATTGCTCCTTTATTGTGGTTGCAATTTGCTTAGCATATTTTTTTCCAGTTTTTGTGCTCAGTCTGTGTTTATCTCTTTTTTTTTTTTAGGTGTGTATTTGTAGGCAACATATTGATGAGCTTTTTTTTTAATCCATTCTGCTTTTTTTCTTTTGATTGGCACATTTTTGTCCATTTGCATTAAGTGTGATAATTTTCAGGCCAGGTTTTACTTTTTCCATTTTACCAATTTCTTTTTGTTTTTTTCTGGTTACTATGGTCCATGCACTTTCCTTTGGCATCTCTGTGTGAGAGACTTCACTTTAAATTTCTTGTAGTTTTGATCTTGTTTTCACAAATTCCTTAAGTTCCTTCTTTTCTTCAAAGGATCTAATTTTTCCTTCATTTTTGATGGAGATCTTTGCTGGGTATAAGATCCTTGACTGGCAATTGTTTTCTTTCCATTTTCTGTATATGCCATTTCATTGCCTTCTAGCTTGCATGGTTTCTGCTGAGAAATCAGAACTTAATCTAATTGTTTCTCCTTTGTAGGTGACTCTGTTTTTCTCATGCCACTTTTAACTTAGAGAATTTGACTATGTCTTGATGTTTTTCTTTTGGGGTCTAGTCTCTTTGGTGTTCACTGTGCTTCATGAATGTGGATTCCCCTGTTTTCAACATACCTAGGGAGTTTTCTTCTAGCACTTCCACAGTTTCCTCCCTGGCTTCCCTGTCACTCCCATATTCTGGAATCCCAGTCATACATACGTTGTTCCTTTTGATGTCATCCCACATGATTCTAACGTTTTCTTCATTTTCTTTACATCTCATCTCTGATTTTTCTTCTGTTTCCCGTGATGATCTTGTCATCCAGCTCACTGAATCTCTGTTTCATCTCTTCAATTTTTTTTTAATCTTACCAGTGTGTTGAACACTTCTGCCATTTCAGCCTTGAGTCTTGATCTTCCGTTTTCATGCTTTTCCATTTTTATGCTTTTCCATTATTTGCAGTATTACGTTGGTTGAACCCTATCTTGTGATGATATTTTTAAGTTTTTGTACCTCTGTATCTGTACTATAAATACTTTCTTCCATCTTTTGCATTTTTTCCATAGCTATTCACATTGCTCCTCATCAATATATTTCTTCTGTATTTTTTCTCTGACGTATTTGTTCTCTTGTTGGTTTTCATTGTTTCTCTAACATTTGCATCTTTTTCTGCAGTTGTTCAAATATCTCCACATAAACATATTTATTTTGGTTCTATCTGGTGTATTCACTGGGTCTGATTTTTTAGGGGCAAGGTTATTTTGGGGTGTTTTTTTTCATGATTACTGAGGCAGATTGCTGCATTCCTAACATTATGTCAGTCTCTTCTTAATAGATACTGTGTTGTTGTAACTATATAGTGACTTAGAGCACAGCAATGTTCTGTGAAGGACCTAGATATTTGTGCTCCCTTATTGGCCTGAGGCTAACAGAGCCAAGGGCCTGACAGCAGTGTTTCCCCCAAAGTACCTGAATGGCCAATAAGGAAGCCTGTTGTTTCCTTCCAGAATGGCATCTACACCCAGTTTGGGCTGCCCCTACCCTTCTGCTTGAACTTAAGGGGTCCCCTGTGGTATATCTATATCTATACAGCAGTGTTTGCTCTACAGTACCTGTTTTCTCTACTCTATGAGACATATAGCTGGTCCTTGACTCCACTCTTATACTAGTTGCAGATAATGTCTTAACAGGATTTTTCATATTGGTGATCATCCTTAATTTTTTTTCCCATTTTTAATGGTTGAGAGCCACAGGCCCAAAGACCCTAATCTGGAAAGGAAATGGACCAAAATGGCAGACACAAGGCAGAGGAAAAGTGTAGGAGTGGCTCCATCCAAGGGAGGTGGGCTGGTCCCACTGCCAGGTCTCCCCTGTTCAGTGGAGCTGGCAAGGAGTTATGCCACTTACAAACAATCCTGGAAGGGAAATGTCAAATCTACTTAGAAAAAAAAAAAAAGAAGAATGCATTTTAATCAATTCAATGGGGAAACCTTAACTTTTCCTCAAAACTCTTGCATTTTTGTCCCTTCATCACTAATTTATTCTCTTTATATCATTACAGGAAGCAACAATAAGCAATGAGAAACCAAACATTTCTGAAGGAATTTGTCTTGCTTGGACTAACAGACATCCCAGAGCTTCAGATTGTCATTTTTATACTCCTCTTCCTTACTTACATATTTAGCCTCTTGGGTAATTTGACAATCATCACCCTCACACTCCTGGACTCCCATCTCCAGACTCCCATGTATTTCTTCCTTCGGAACTTCTCCTTCTTAGAAATTTCTTTTACAACCACTTTTACTCCTAGGCTACTGTACAGTATTTCTACTGGGAATAAGACCATCAGTTTTGCTGGATGTTTCACTCAGTACTTTTTTTCCATATTCTTTGGAGCAACAGAGTTTTATCTTCTCGCTGCCATGTCCTATGATCGCTATGTAGCCATCTGCAAACCTCTACATTATGCAAACATCATGAACAACAGAATCTGTACACAGCTGGTGCTCTGCTCTTGGGTGGGTGGATTTCTAATCATTTTATACCCGATCATCCAAACCAGTCAGTTGGATTTCTGTGCCTCCAATGTGATGAATCATTATTGTTGTGACTATGGACCCCTGATAGAAATCTCTTGCTCAGATACAAAAGTCCTTGAACTGGTTGATTTTATGTTAGCAATTGTGACCTTGGATGTTACACTGATGTTGGTGATCCTTTCCTACACAAATATTATCAAGACCATTCTGAAGTTCCCCTCTGCCCAACAAAGGAAAAAGGCCTTTTCCACATGTTCTTCCCATATGATTGTCATCTCCCTCTCTTATGGAAGTTGCATCTTCATGTACATAAAACCTTCAGCAAAAGAAGGAGTTGCTTTCAATAAGGGAGTGGCTGTGCTCAATACCTCAGTAGCCCCTTTACTGAACCCCTTCATTTACACTCTGAGGAATAAACAAGTAAAAGAAGCCTTCAAAGATGTGACCAGAAAGATTATGAGAGAGTCTTAAATTAATTGAAAGAAAATTCTGAATTATTTTAACTAAGTCCTTCCCCTTGAAAGCTCAGGAGTGTCTTCTCTAAATTCCTCTAATTAAACAACATCTCAAATGAATTTTTATGAGAAAATGTCAAAGTATATTTCAGCCTAACTAATGAGGAGAATTGTACTTATGCAAAACCTATACTTCGATCAAGGAAACACTGCATGGTTCAAAATTGAGAAGAGTGTCAAGGATGTGTCCTATCACCATATCTTTTCAATCTATATGTGGAACAGATTATCTGGAAGGCTGGGCTCTAGGAGCAGAAATGTGGTATCAGAATTGGAGGTAGACTCATCAGCAATCTGTGTTATGTAGATTATACAATCCTGTTTGCTGAAACTGAGGAGGACCTGAAGCACTTGCTGAAGAAGGTCAAGGACTGAAGCCTTCAATATGAATTGAAGTTCAACATCAAGAAAACAAAGATTCTCACCACTGGGCTGATTGGCAACATTATGATGAATGGTGAAGAGATTGAGAATGTTAACAATTTTCATTTGCTTGGCTCCACAATCAACACTCTTGGTCCCAGCAGCCAGGAAATTAAAGGACAAATTGCATGGAAAAGTCTGCTGTCTACAAGTTTGTTTTTCTTTTGTTTGGGTTTTTTTAAGTTCTATTGTGACTTGGGTGAAAGTTTGCAGAGTAAACTGTATTTTCACTTAACAGTTCACACACATTTTGATCCTGTAGGGTTTTCACAAAGCAAATCACCTTGATACTAAACTGTTGCCACCCCTCAGATGCTTAAAAGTTGCTTCTAATTGCACTTTAGAGTTCTGCTCCAAACCATCTTATTTTAGATTTGAAACAATTTTCTTTTTTTCAGTGTAATCTATTTGCTCTGAAAACTCTATAACCATTTCTTCTTACTTATTTAGTATAAAAAGGATTTCCTGCCACAGAAATTACATTTTTTGCTGTCTCTCCTTCTAACCACAAAGTATGGATGAAAATTTTTATTCAGACAGGAACTCTAACACAATGAGAATCAAATCTCCTTCAAAGTGAAAAATTCCTTATAGTAGGAATTATGGATTATATTGTTGTTGTTAATCTTATTGTGTCATGAAGTCAAATATGACTTATAGTCAACAGATCTGAGCTTAACTTATCCTGTACCTCCTTTGTGATATCTGATATGCTTAAGTCAATTTCTACAATCCTGGTGTTAATTCATCTTCTTAAGGAGCTTCTTCTCCTTCTATGTCTGTTCACCTTTCCCAATAAGAGGTCTTAATGGTCAAAACCTATAGAGTTCAATAAATATGCTGAGTGTTAAAAGACATACCCTGTGGATGAACCTGAGGCACCTGGGAGTGAAATGGACTATGAAGGTCTTAGGAAATAGCATATAAATTGCTTAAGAGTGGTTTATCAAAGGAAAGAGACTAAAAAACCTACTTGAGACTGATGCCACACCTGTCCCAGGACCCAGTACACTGATGCTTCTCTGCAGTGGGGAGGCCTTCTCCCCAGCTGGAGGTTTGGAACCAGTAACAGAGATCAAATGATTGTAGATCCCTTCAATTCAAAACATAATGTTGTTATGAGAATAAATGAATCTGGGAAGAGTAACTCTTCCTTTGCAATTCAGTTTGTTCTCAGTGATGAGTTTAATTATCTTGTCCAAAACAATAACTGGCTTTGTTACAAAGTAATTTCTTAATTTTCTTAATTTCTTAATTTGTTACAAGTAATTACTGCTTTTGTGGAGATTATTTTTGACAATTCAGACAATTGGTAACTGATTGATAAAGAGGACGTTTCACCTCAAAGAGTAATTGGTGCCAAAAAGGATCAATATTTTTTAGACAACAAAGGGGTTAGGAGAATGTGAAAACCTCCTTGAAAGTTCTGGTTTTTCTTGAAGCAATCCTTACTATATTGTTAAACAAGGAAAGATCAACCAGATGGCAACAGCACCAGATTCTCAGACAATAAAAACTACTAAGAGAAACTGCTGGTACTTGAGTATATGATGAGCAAAAAGAAGAAAGAATCTCCCTAATGAAAGAAACAGAGGGAAAGTGGAGAAATAAATCAATGAATTAATTAATCCATTAATTAATCCATTAAGAAATTAATCAATGATTACATACTTTAGAGGAAGAAAAGGAAGAATTAGCTCAGTATCACAAGTGGGGTAAAATGAGATGAGCCATGGAATACACCATTTACTTAATAAGACTTGTGTGAAACTTGATGAGCTTTCTGCTAAGCGACAGACTAGTGGAGAAAAATCCAATTAAGAGATTCTCAGCAAGATGCCAGAGATAAAATGGAGGATATTGAATGCCAGGGTTGAGAACTGAAAACAAAAATTTCAGCTATGAAAGAGGAAAAGGAACAGCTCAATGCTGAACAACAAGAGCAAATTAAGCAGAGAACTAAATTGGAGCTTAAAGCCAAGGATTTGCAAGATGAATTTGCAGGCAATAGTGAGCAAAGGAAATGCTTATTAAAGGAAAGGCAGAAGCTTCTCGAAAAAATAGAAGAAAAACAGAACGAACTGGCAGAAATAGAACCTAAATTCAGGAGTGTCAAAGAAAAAGAAGAGCAAGGCATTGCTAGATTGGCCCAAATTACGCAGGAAAGAACAGATATTTGTGCAAAGCAGGGTTGAGGAAGCCAATTTACTTCAAAAGAAGAAAGGGCTAAATGAATTAAAAGGAGTTCAAATCCTTAGATCAGGCTATTAATGACAAGAAGAGACAAATTGCTGCCATACACAAAGATGTGAAGGGCACTGAAACAAATAAAGTGAAAAATCTGGAACAATATAATAAATTGATTTTAAATTATCAACTGTCAGTGCCTTCAAGACAGTTTTAACTTCACATAACCTTGTAGGACAGAATAAAACTGCCCATAACATTTCTGAAACTGCAAATCTTTGCAGAAGCAAACAGCCTCATCTTTTTCCTGAGGACTGGCTGGTGTATTCAAACAGCAAGCTAACACTTACTTTACCTACAGTAGCCCAAAGGCTTCTTTTTATCTTAATTTCTGTAGTACGAAAAGTAAACTGTGTTTAGTGATTTTTGTTGTGCTAATTTTATTAATTATTTAACTGTATTGTGCTGGGAAAGTCTGCGATTAGAGACCTCTCCAAAGTACTGAAGAGCAACGATGTCAGTCTGGAGACTAAGGTGCTCCTGATACAGGTCATGGTCTTTGCAATTACTTGCTACGCAGCAGAGAACTGGGCAATGACTAGGGATAATAGAAGGAGAATTGATGCCTTTGAGCTATGGTGTTGGAGAAGAGTATTGATTATACCATGGACTGCTAAGAGAACAAACAGGTTTGTCCTGGAGAGGGTGAGACCAGGCTGCTCCTTGAAGGCAAGGATTCTGAAGCTTCATCTGTTATACTTTGGACATGTTGCAAGGAGGAATCAGTCCTTGGAGAGGGATGTCATGCTTGGGAGGATGGAGAGACAGCACAGGAGAGGAAGACCCTCAGTGAGATGGATTGATTCAGTATTGGGGTAATGGGGGTAAAAGTGTCAGAGACAATGAAATTGGCACAGGATAGGGCAGGGTATAGAACTGTTGTACATAGGATCGCTATGAGTCACAGGCAACTTGATGGTACATAACAACAACAATTTTCTTTTATTTGCATAACATAACATCTATAGAGGGAGTTCTAGTGGCCTAGTCCTCGGAGAGTAGCACTGTCCATCCAAAGGCACATGGTTAATGTCCACCAGCTGCTCTGTAGAGGAAGATGGATAGTCTCCTCTTGTGCAGTTTACAGTCTCTGAAAACATGCTGGAAAATCAACTATGAGTCACTTCTGACTTGGCTTCAATGCATTTTTTGTGTTTAACTCCTATAGACTTGTTAACTTAAGTTCAGATGTGTCTAATTAATTTAAAAATATCTTGATTCCAGCAACCACTATAGGAAAGATAAAACAAGAAAAACCTATCTGATTATAAGATTTATACGTTCTTATAAAGGGGTAAAATATTCATTCTATTGTTGTTGTTGATTGCCTTCAAATCAAGCACAATTCATAGTGACCCTATGACTAAATCTTTAGTTTTGGGGTGTGTTTTTTTTAGTTACTTTTTTTAATATCCTATTACCTAACTAAAAACTAAAGATTTAGTCAAAATAAAGAAATTTGTTAAGATGGAATACTAGAAAATATCCAAATGACTCAAAAAACTTCCCATCATTGCTGTTAAATCAGAACTGACTCATAGCTGTGATTTTTCAGTGGTTTTTCAGAGGCTGTAAATCTCAATAGGAAGATTGCTCATCTTTCCCCCACAATATTGCTGATAAATGCAAACTGCCTGCCTTTGAATTGTCAGCACAACTAGGTCACAAGAAGTCTTTAAATAACTCAAAAATAGGCAAGAAAGGGGAAAGACGGGGAAATAAGATTAAGCAGTAAACAAATTGACAAGTGGTCGAAATACATCAGCAACAAATATCAAGAAATATCATAATCAAATTTTCCCAAAATTAAAGTTTAAAAAAATACTGAAAACTACTCAAGAAAAACAAAGAGCTACCTAAAAAGGAACATAAATGAGATGAAAATCCAATTTCTCAGCAGAAACCATATAAGCAAGACAATGGATGGCATACTGACAGAAGAAAATAAAACCAAAAACAAATTCTTTACAGCACAAAACTATCCCTCATATACGATGGTTTGGACATTCCCAGAAAAGTAGAAACTAAGGAAATTTGTGAAAACTAGATCACTCTTACAAAAATTACTAAAAGGAGTTCTTCAGACCCAGAGTCAACAATGACAATTCAAAATTAACATATCTGGTAACATCATTCACGAATTATGTTGTGGGGTGAATTCTGGTTATGATGAATGTGATATATACAAATCAAAAAAAGAGTTAATAGTATCACATTCATCATCAAAAAGAACATGTAAAGATCCATCCTGGTGCTTGCTTCAGCAGCACATATACTAAAATTGGA